AGTTTTTCTATTTTTGGTAGAGGTTGAGTCTCACTCTTGCTCAGGCTGATCACGAACTACTGAGCTCAGGCAATCCACCCCCGTTGGCCTCCCAGAGTACTAGGATTATAGGAGTGAGCCACCATACCTGGTCAAGGTCCTCATAGTATTTTAAAAATATGACACTATCCCTTAAATGTCCCATAGACTGGTAGTTAGAGATAGAGGCTTGATTAGATTCCAGTTTAATTTTTTGGCAAGGATATTTTATAGTTGGGACTGTGTATTTCCCAAGAATGTTTTATAGATGGACTATGTATTTTTAATCTAAAAATCCATTTCTTTCAGTTCTGGGATTTTTTTTTTTTTTTTAGATAGAGTCTTACTCTGTTACTCCAGGCTAGAACGCCAGGGCATCAGCCTAGCTCATAGCAGCCTCAAACTTCTGGGTTCAAGCAATCCTCTTGCCCCAGTCTCCCATGTAGCTGGGACTATGGGTGCCCACCACCATGCCCAGCTAGTTTGTCTATTTTTAGTAGAGATGGGAACTTGCTTTTGCTTAGGCTGGTCTCGAAACTCCTGAGATCAAATGACTCTTGTGCCTTGGCCTCCTAGCATGCTAGGATTACAGGCATGAGCCACTGTACCTGACCAGTTCTGGGATATTTTTGTGAATTATTTCTTTGAATATTTTCTTCCTTCCTCTCCTCATTTTTTTTTTTTTTTGAGACAGTCTTACTTTTCACCCTTGGTAGTGTGCAGTGATGTCATAGCTCACAGCAACCTCAAACTCCTGGGCTCAAGTGATTCTCTTGTCCCAGTTTCCCAAGTAGCTGGGACTACAGGCGCCCACCACAATGCCTGGCTATTTTTCTGTTGTAGTTGTCATTGTTGTCTGGCAGGCCTGGGCTGGGTTCAAACCTGTATGTGGCTGGTGTCCTGGCCACTGAACTACAGGCACAGAGCTCTCTCTCCCCATTTTCTATCTTTTCACTTTCTATAACTCTGATTATTCAGATATTTGACTTCCTGGAATGGCTTTCTAATTTTACTTGTTTATCCTATTTTTCATCTTTTTTTATTTGGGTCTACTTTCTGAATATTACCTTCCAACCAGTACTAAGTCAGACTTAGTACTTATGCAGAAAATATGAGCAGAAACCACTGTAGGTATTACAGGCAGAAAGGGATTGAAAGCAGGGAATTGGGTACTTACAAACTCATGAAAAGAGCCGGAGTTGCAGAAGTAAGGGGGACTTTTGTTTCACAGTCACCATAGCTGTGATTGACAGGTCACAGTGCCACTGCTACTCCTGCTGCCCTGAACATAACTGCCTGACACATACATGAAACTGCAGACTGGGCGATGGATCAGGGAGGATAGCCACTTTTATTTTGTTCAAAGGTAAAGTTCAAAGACAAGAGGGCTATGGTTTGGCTTAAATGAGAAGTTGAATTCACAAGGTAGTCTATGACATGTCGACTTAACGTGAGGTCTTTGATATCCACACAACCGATTTTGGCCTTTCATTTTAATGGAGCAAGGGCTGAGACCCTGACTTAGAGAGGTCTAATGATACAATTAGGAATAGAACTCCTGTAGTTCTCACTGACTTTGCAGGCTGTGTCAAGAAGGCTAGAATTCTTCTGGACTCAGCTAAATTGAATTTTGGTCATAGAATCACCTTTGTTCTCACATGAATGAGGTCACTGGAAAGGTAGGTACTGTCAATGTAAGAAAAGGGGGGGGGGATTCCAAATGTGCAATTTAATTTCATGATAGCTGGACCAGAAATACATTTCACAGTGTGTATAGATTCTGCAGATTTCTGTTATCCCTTCAGAGAAAGTGGCAAGACTTATCAGGCTCTGGTACTTCTTACCTTAGAAAGTTCACAGAGCTATCTACCTCCAGTCTCCTTCAGAGTGCTAGCTCGGCAAAAAGAGCCATTAATTTATTAGGTGTTTGTGTGCATATTTTAAGAATGATACATTTTAGCATTTACTTTGAAGAAAATATCTGTTATATGTATTTTAGATAATGTATTTTTATTACATCGTGGTACATAAATATATTTTCATGCCAGGCACAGTGGCTCACACCTGTAATCCCAGCACTTTGGGAGGCTGAGGCAGTGGATAGTCTGAGGTCAGGAGTTTGAGTCATGCCTGAGCAAGAGTGAGACCCCATCTCTAAAAAATAACCAGGCACTGTGGCAGGCGACTGTAGTCCCAGCTACTCAGGAGGCTGAGGCAAGAGGATTTCTTGAGCCCAAGACTTTGAGGTTGCTGTGAGCTGTGATCCCATGACACTCTACCAAGAATGACAAAGTGAGACTCTGTTTCAATAAAAAAATACATTTTCATTGTAAAATAACTAAAATATTAAAGATAAAAACTAAAGTCCCCTGTGATCCTCACCTCCATAATGCCATTTCTCCTCCTGAAAAGTAACCACATGTCAATCGTATAGCAGCATGCATCTGTTGTAGGGGGTTAGGGTTAGTGCTAAGGCAAGCATGAGAGAGCATGAGCTAATATGATTGATCTTAGCCCTTACTAAGAAACTATGAGTTAGAAAATTTTTCCTTTATTGATTTTTAAAATAATTTTAGCAAGTTTGTCATTTCGGTTTCACAAAGGAACTATTTACAAAAGTGACTGCCAGTATCTCAGAACTAGTAAGATTGGGGCTCTTACTACCCCTACGCCTAAAGGAGCAAGAGGAGAGTGCTGTTAGTAGGATCAGAGGAAGAGAGTTCTGTGGGGAAGGAAGGAAGAAGCCAGGCCCATATGGCTTCTCAGGGAAGTTCTGTCAGTCCAAATCAAGAGTCACAAAGATGTTGCTAACCATTTTTTATCTCAGAGGGATTGTTCATTATACATATGTGCCAAATAGATAAGTAGTTAACCAAGTTTAATATTTGGAAGTGCAGAAACGCTTTGTGAAAAAGATGAAAACAACCTGAACTTTTGCCAACAACTCATGGCTCTTGCATGACGACAAAACACCAGCTTACACAGCACTGTCTATGAGGGAGTTTTTAGCCACTAAACAAATAACTATATTGGAATACCTTCCCTACTCACCTGATCTGGTCCCCAATGACTTTTTTCTTTACCCCAAAATAAAGGAAATATTGAAAGGAAGACATTTTGATGACATTCAGGACATCAAGGGTAGTATGATGACAGTTCTGATGGCTATTCCAGACCATAGTGATATTCAGCAATGAAGTATATAGCACTTTTTCTAGGATGAGTTCATGAACTTAATTATCAGACCTCTTATCATTCCTATTTTCTCATTTATTTATATATTCAAAAGTAGAAACATTGAAACACAAAGGAAATAAGATAATAAACCTCCTGCCATTTTTGCTTATAACTTGTTTAAATAGTAAAGAAGTAGAATATCACAAATAAAATTGAAATCACTTTTATATCCTTTCTTCGTTCATTCTCCTTCCTCTCTCCCCAGGGGGAACCACTGACATGAATTAGTTATGGATATTTTCCTAGAATACGTTAATATTTTTATCACATACAGTACATATATATACACAAACTATACATAAAATTGCTTTATAGGCTCAAAATTTCCACATGAATGTCATTGTATTGTATGATTCATTGTGTAATTTGCTTTTATCACTCAGCATTAGGTTATTAAGACCTAAACATGTCCACATTTACAGATACAGTTCATTTTCACTATTGTTAAAATATTCATTGTCTGAATATACCACAATGTATTTATCTATTTCATTATTTCCCCCCTCCCTCCTTTCCTTCCTTCCTTCTTTATTTAAAGACAGAATCTTTCTAAGCTACTCAGGCTGTGTAAATGCAGTGGCTCGGCTTGGCACCTGTGGCTCAAGTGGCTAAGGCACCAGCCACATCCACCTAAGGTGGCGGGTTTGAATCCCCAGCCCGGGCCCACCAAGCAACAATGACGGCTGCAACCAAAAAATGGCCAGGCGTTTTGGCGGGGGCCTGTGGTCCCAGCTACTTAGGAGGCAGAGGCAGGAGACTCGCTTGAGCCCAGGTGTTGGAGGTTGCTGTGAGCTGTGATGCCATGGCACTCTACCCAGGGGGATAGCTTGAGGCTCTGTCTCAAAAAAAAAATGCAGTGGCTATTCACAGGTGTGATCATAGCACACTACAGCCTTAAACTCCTGGGTTCGACAGATCCTCCTGCCTCAGCCTCCTGAGTAGCTGAGACTATAGGCACATGCCATTGCACCTGGCTCTATTTCATTATTATACCCATTGAAAATTATAGGTTGGGCGGCACCTGTGGCTCAGTGAGTAGGGCGCCGGCCCCATATACCAAGGGTTACGGGTTCGAACCCGGCCCCAGCCAAACTGCAACAACAACAACAAAAAGAAAATTATAGGTTGTTCACTCAATACTGGAATGAACATCCTGGAGTGTCTCGTGGTTCTCAATTAGAAGTTGACCAGCTGCTGCACAGAACTTCTCTTAAGTCTTCCATTTCTTATTTGAGTGTGTCCAGGAATCCATCACCAACCATTTGCCTGGCCAGTGGAACATTGCATTTTATGTCTTTGTTAATGGTTTGGAACCCATAAAATCATCCATATCTTATTTCAGCATGAATGACCAAAATTCATTGGTTATTGCAGCTGGGTGGCAGGCATAGCGACTGTTCAAATGACCTACAGCAAGTCCTCAAATAATGTCATTTCATTATAATGTTAATGAGAAAAATATTGGTTTCATTATACCTCGTTTCACTTAAGGTCACAGTTTCCAAGAAACTGGATGATGTTAAATGAGGACTTAACTGTATCTGCTCCTTGAAATCACTGTGAGGATGAAGAGAAATATTGTATGTATAGCACTTAGCACAGTATCTAGCTGAAGGTACTCAAAATAACTGCTAACATGTTAGTAGTAGTATTGTAATCAAAATAACAACCTTGGTAGAGTGACTGAGAGATCCAGGGCAGAAGAGATGGAGAGATTTTTCTAAAATTTATTCTCCCCTTGGCAGGGCACAGTGGCTCATGCTTGTAATCCTAGCACTCTGGGAGGCCAAGGCTGGAGGATCCTTTGAGCTCAGGAGTTGAAAACCAGCCGGAGCAAGAGAGAGACCCCGTCTCTACTGAAAAACAAAAACTAGCCGGGCGTTGTGGCGGGCGCCTGTAGTCCCAGCTACTCAGGAGGCTGACGCAGGAGAATCGCTTGAGCCCAGGAGTTTGAGGTTGCGGTGAGCTAGGCTTCAGCCTGGACACTTGCTGGTATTTCCAGAGAAGCCAGCGCCTTCTGCCCAACTAAAACAGAAATGGACCCGTTGTGCTAACTTATTTCCGGAAGATGGCGCCAGCGAACAAGGCTGCTGCTGTCCTTGCGGGTCAGTAGCAATTTTCGCTATTCACAGATTGCTTATCAGTTTCACATGCATTATCTCAATTTGATTTTCCTTTTTTTTTTTTAATTTCAGGCTCCTTTATTCCATGAATATTTACAGAACATCAACTATAGGCAAAACATTGACATAATCATTGATGATAACATTGGGACAAATATATCAATTTTATGAGGAAACAAAAGCATTATCTACAAATCAATTATGAGATAAGTGTACTCATTACCACCACCCCTAGGAAAGTTGAAGATCCTAGCTAGTACGATTATGATAACTTAAAAATCCCAATGGTTTGTAGAAAAAATACAAATTTCATTACTTCCGAGTTACCAAGTTACTTGCAAATTACCAAAAACAATAGAAAAATTCAGCCATGTAGCTAACTTCAAAATAACTATACAAAATCAATTATATTCATATATAAAAAGAATTACAAAATAATATTAGAAAAAGAAAGGTGGCGTTGTATCAGCAACCAAAATAGAAAGTACCTATCCATATAGCTTTAACAAGAGTTGTGTAATTTTTTGGGAATACATAATCATTTATTTTTCAAATGATTTTTTTTAGACTCTGGTAAAAACATAATAAGGAAAAAAAATTGCTTGCTATTTGTATTTTGTCTTGTGTATTCTGTAACGAACAAGTAGTAAATGATTCTCCTTCATCAACCATTTACCAAATGCGGAATATTCCATCTATTCTTTCATCCCTTTTTCAACAAATGCTGACTGAGCACTTATTCCAGCCAAAGTGCAGCTTTAAATCTCTTCTAAAACAGTACTGTGACTAAGAAACAAACAAACAATATATCAATATATGAAATAAATACAATTCTAAGCCCCTGCTGGAGAGCTGTACTTTCACAAGATGAATGGGACAAGTTCTAGCCAATGATTTCTTTCTTGTTCTTCGTTAGTGCCAACTCATACTCTGGAAGGAGACTGATTTAATAAAGTAGAAGCCGCATAATTTAAGAGAGAAACTGAGTCAGGAAGAATCGATTCCTCTGCAGGAGCAGCCGAGGTGCTTCCCACAGACCATCTTCAGTCCTTCCCTAAGGCTATTTATTGATCTGAGGGCAGAGCGTTTGGTCCCTAGACTACTTAAAATTTCTGAGCAGGCAAAAGAAAAAAAAACATAAAGGGAACAGAGAGAAGGCGCTGAAGGGCTTTGCGGGAGGAAAGGTCAGCTGGTCTGGATTCTAGAATTCCAGACAGAATTGATTTTGCAGGTCCTTGAGCTTTGCAGACAGGCCACAAGCATACCTGGAAACCAGGAGATGTCTCTTTCTATGGGGAGGACAGAGTGGGCTCACACCCACGCCAGAGCTGGGGGGGGAGCAGTGAGCTCACCTGATGATCACCTCAGCAGTGAAGCTTTATGGAGTATCAAGAAGGGCTACCGCCATGGGTGAAATTTCTCTCTCTCAATAACCACTCTCTGGTGCCCCAAATGCCACCATTAGTGTCCTTTAAAACAAATATTGCAGGAATTAAGATAGGTATGTGTCTGTGATTATATTGGTTTGGAGAATAGTCTGCAAATAGACACATCAGATGTGAACATGGGTTATTTTGAGCTGGAAATCCTGGAGTAAGTATGGGAGATTCATGGAAGATGGGAAAGGGATAGGTAAAAAAAAAAAAAAAAAAAAAAATCACATTAAAAAGGATGCCCATGATTAAAAGAATGTTTATTATTTGTTTTGATTTATGTGAAAGATTACTTCTATTGCTTGTGTATGTACGGACATGCATGAAAGATGTCCACCAAAATATTAGCAGTAATCACCATAGGGTGATGAGGTTTCAAAGGATTTTACTTTCTTCCATATATATATATTTTTTTTTTTCTTTTTTTACCAGGGCTGGATTTGAACCCACCACCTCAAGCACATGGGACCAGTGCCCTACTCCTTTGAGCCACAGGCACCACCCAACTATACATATTTTTAAAATAATTTTAGTGAGTATTTAAATCAGGAAAGGGGGGCGGGGAATCAAGAGCACTCTGGCAAGCCAAATGGGAAAAACAATAACAAAAGCTGAGCCATTCACTCTGCTAAGCTGAGTTGGAGACAAGCCTGAGCAAGAGCTAGGCCCTGTCCCTGCTAAAAATAGAAATACTAGCCCGCTGTAGTGGGTCATACCTGTAGTCCCAGCTCCTTGGGAAGCTGAGGCAAGCGGATTGCTCAAACCCAAGAGTTTGAGGTTGCTGTGAACTGTAATGACGCTCAGGCACTCTACCCAGGGCAACAGAGTGAAATTCTGTCTAAAAAAAAATTTAAAAGCTGAGCCATTCAAATTCTAACTCCTCCATTCCCTGGCATTAGAACTCTAACCAAATTACTTAACCTCTCTGAACCTCGGTTTCTTCTTCTTTAAAAGCAAAGATGGAGTGGACAGCTTTATTTTTGTCTGCCTAGCATCCTTTCCCTTCTGATTTCCCATTGGGGAATCACCACAAGCCACTCTCACATAAATCTATTAGATTTGAGAGAGTCTCACCCAGAGTTCAGTGATGAACCTGAGACATTGGCCTAGCTAATCAGTTTATTTCATCACCCTCCTTAATCACAGTGATTGGGTTAGAGATACATCAATAACTCGACCTGGGCCAATAAGAGTCAGGCCTAAGATATCCCCCCCCCCCCAAACTATGGGGAAAGAGCAGCTTTTTGTCTCTACTTGGGTCCTGAGCTGGTGGGAATATGAACCTCGAGTTGCTGGTGGCCAACTTGCCTTTATGATGGGAGCGTGTGATTAAAAGTAGGTCCAACATACAGTAGAAGAGAATTGTAAGAAAAAGATAGAGTGAGGCAATAATATTTAAGACCCTAGATCCAGCTGTACCTGAGTTGGAGGATACTTCCAGAAATAATATAACATACTGATTAACAGCGTAAACTGTAAGGAGCAGACTATTTAGGTTCAAATCCTGGCTTTGCTCCATAGAAAATGACTATGGGAAGTTGGGTAGTGAAGGAATTTGTTCAGAGCCTATGGGATAGATGCTAGAATCACTGGGGACCCCAAATCAGAGATTGAATGGCAGGAATAGTGTCTGCATTCACAGCAACAAACAGAATTCATCTGCCGCCACGTGTGACCTTCTGCCTTTGGACACCCAATGCTGCCCATCACTCCAATGCCATTGTTGTCACAGGCACTTGATCTTGCTGCTGCCACCAAACCTGCCAGAGAACATTCTCCATTCGAGTCCGCAAGTCCAAGTCCATGGCAGATGCACCTGATCAGCAAAACCTAGTCACACACTCATGTCCCTATGCCAGGGAGGCTGGGGAAGAGATCAGATGGGATTTCTGCCTCCTCTGTGGGAACTAAACTCTGGGTTCCAAGAAGTCCAATGACCTTAAACATAGGAAGGGGAGATTCAGATGCTGGAAAGCAACATAAATAAATAAATAACGACTTTTTAGGAGGATGACCACAGTAAAATTGTCGAAGCCTCAGTATCCAAGTTTTCCTATCTGCAAAATGGAAATAATATGTATTGGTACCATCTTTAAAATATTACTTAGAAGGCGAAAGGAATCGAATATGTGGAAAATTCTTAGAATTATGTCAGCCGCATGATGGTTTAATGAATACCAGATGTGATCTCTCAGTTTTACAAACTTTTTGGCTTAAGCCATTTGCGAGTTAGTTGTTATGGGTTTTTTTCCTACTTGCAACTTGCACTGATGGTCCTGACTAATAGGAGGACTAATGATACACAGGGTTGTTGTAAAGCTCGAAGGGGAAAATCTATGTGTTTCTGGTGTATGAGAAGCTCTCGCTAAACAATAATTACTTATTACTAATATTAATACCATTACTGCTAAAAGATGGTTCTCTATGATCTTTACATAATTGGTAAGGGCAAGATTTTGTAAGAGGTACCTGAAATGGCAACCTAGGGAGGTGTTTCTGATGATTTGGGGTTTCGAGAGGATCCAGGACATCAAAGAGAGGGAATACTGAGGACAGAAAATGGGTACATGGACAAATTCGGAAAATATTTTTGGAATGGACAGTTGAAAAGATAAAAGGATTCATGAAGAGGTTCTCTTCTTCCAGTGAGAGTTACATTGATTACAGGAGACAGACTCTGAGCCAGGCACCATGCTGGCTGCTGGAATGACAGAGATGACACATGACACTGTTTCTATTTTCAAGAAGTGCCCAGGTACCTACAGGGCTTAGTCTGGTAATAATAAGTGACAGAAGCGGGCCAGATGTGAGGAAAGAATGTGAGTAAAAGAAACACTTCACATTCTTAATTAACCCATGGTAAGAAAAAACCACACTACAAGAGTGATGATAAATGGCTCTTGACATTAATGTCAGGAAGACAATAGGGCATGGTGGGGACTGAGGAGAAATGGAAAAGACATGCTTTGTCCACAAAAGGCCACTGCTATGAGGGCTGAGAGGTGGACACATGTTGCTGCATTTCTAGTTTGTCAAAAGAAGCCAGAAATCCAGAATATGATGTGAAATCTCTAAATTTCTAGTTTTAGGGTTTTTTTATTATTTCAGGTTTGGGGGTCCAGAGAATTAGGTTACAATGTTTGCATTTGTTAGGTAGAGTCCCTCTTATAATTGTGTCCCACCCACAAGACGTGTGCCATATGCCCTAACATTGAGCCC